GTAACTTATTATTTTTTAATTTGATTCATAATGATATAATATAAAAGATGTCAACTTTTGATTTGTTATACATTTCATCATATAAATTCAACTCACATCATTATAAGTAAATTTGTGAATTCAAAATTTCTAACACTTCTCTTATTGATATGTTGGATGCACAAATATACACTATCGGTGTAATTATACATTCTCTAATTTTTTTTTTTTAAATATAAGCAATTCTATAGTTTTAATATAATTATATTAATCTCACTTTTTTTTATTATTTATTAATGTGTTAGATATACCTACAATACATATGATATAACTTTCTTAAATATAATAAGACTAAAAAATTAAAATGTTACACTTATTACTCATTTTTTTGTTATTTATTTTTTATTTTTCATTTTTTTAACTCTCATCACTTACAAATTATTATTCATAGTGAGTAATTTTTGTAGTAGGGTACTACAAACCTACCATGCTCCTGCCCTGCCCTACCTTGTTTCCATTGTTATTTCTAATAATAAAAAGATTAGGGCGTTAACTTTTACTAAATTCCCTTTATAAATTTTAGTTTTAATTTGTCAAATTTAACAATAAGACCAAGAGGGTCGAGATATGGCGTGTTGTTGTTGGTGATCGTGGTTGCCATGGATGGTGGGGGTGGAAGCAACAGATGAGAGAGATTAAGCAAAGTGGGAGAACATGGGGGTGGCGCTGGTACTGGTTGTGGTGGAATTCAGTAGGGTCGTGGTGGTCGGCAACTGAGATGGGTAGGAGAGGAATGAATGGAGGGAGAAAATGGTGATTGTTCAATGTGAGAGAGAGAGAGAGAGGAATAAATTATATATATATATATTTTAATTATTTATCAATTTTTACTTCTTATGTAACTAAATTTTTTTTCCTTCATGTTTTTGTAATTTTTCCATTAAACTCTATTTTATAAATTTTCATTTAAAAAAAATATTTTTCAATTTTTTAAAAAATGTTAATTTAACAACAAAATGAGAACAATACAAGCATTTCCACCATTTTTGTTGTTTTCAAATAAAAAAATATATATAAGAAGAAGAAGAAAATTAGGAAAAAAATATATAAAAACTAAGAATAACATCCATCAAATAAAAAGAGAGCACATGAAAATGACAATATTATCCACATGAAAAATAAAAATAAAAATAATTGTCTTTTTCATATTTTAAGGGTGGTTGAGAACTTGAGATTGCTTATGACTTTCTTATCCTCATATCCATGCTCGGCGGTTGAAGCAATCTAAAGACTTTCTTGTTAATTGATTAAAACCTTAACCAACTTTAATTTTGGATAATTATCAATCAGTTCTATTAAATTTATTTTGGCAATTGAATTAAAAGTCAATTTTTAGTTTTCTAGTCTTTTTTAGTTTCATCGTCTCTATTATATATATATGTATATATATTCCAAGAAAACACCAAAATCATCAAAAAATTGACTTTTAACCCACTTCCTAAAATATGTCTAAGTTAAACTTATTTACTCACAGGTCTTGACTGATAAATTTATCTCAAAAATAGGATTTATTGATAATTTATCCTAATTTGGGTGAATGTTTAATCTGGCCTGATAAATTTATCTCAGAAATAAGATCTTTTGATGTTCAACCAAAGCAGGCAGATATCTTGACCGATGCCGACTGCTTCATCTAGGAGAAAAGAATTATGCTCTCCTCCCAAATCCCATTTGCAAACAAACATAATATACCAAGTTGGTAAAGTTGCTTAAAAACTTATAATTCACCCGATCCATTTTAAATAGACATATTCCAATATTAGGGATTAATAAAAAAATTAATTAAAACATTAGGGTTCCCATCCTAAAAAAAGAAAAAAATATTCATTACAGTTAACTCGATTAGGTGTTTCTTAAAACATTAGTGATAATTTTTGTCCAAGAAAAAAATGATTACTTCTTTTTATTTATGCATAAATTTTGATGTCTTTGTGATGATTCTAGTCCAATATTAATTTTTTGGGAGCTTTTTTGATAAATCATCTTTCTAAGAGTTTTATTCCATCTAACTCATATTGTTTTTGACTATTTATTAGGTCCTATTTGAGATAAGAAGACCAAAACATCCTCAATCTCTCCTACCCTCTATTAATGTTGATTGTTCCCATGCATCAAGATGTTGACTATCATTATATTTATATTAATTTGAAATGAATTTTTGTCATTGTATTGCCAATTACATTATGTAAATATTCACATCATGCAATTGAAATGAATATTCACGTTAATTTGAAATAAATTTTTGTCATTGTGTTGTTAATTACATGATGTGAATATTCATACTAAAACATACGAATGTGAACGTTCACATCACTATGTTAGATGAGAGAAAATGTTCACATGTTGTGAATATTCACATCACTACATATTATGAATAATAATATGTTGTCAATTAAAAATATAATAAATATTATTTTAATGTGTTGTCAATTAAAAATAAGAAGGTTCACATCACTACATTAGATGAGAGAGAATTTTTCGAAAAGGTGTTGTGAACGTTTACATCAGATGAGAGAGAATATTCACATTATTTTTAATGCGTTGTCAATTAAAAATATATTCACATTATATAATAATATAAAATAATAACATCAATATTATTTAATTTGTGTATGAAATGTCCTATGCCTTGGTCATTTCCCTTCTCTCTTCTCCCCCAACATTAAATATCAATAGAAATGAATATTCACGTTAATTTGAAATAAATTTTTGTCATTGTGTTGTTAATTACATGATGTGAATATTCATACTAAAACATACGAATGTGAACGTTCACATCACTATGTTAGATGAGAGAGAATGTTCACATGTTGTGAATATTCACATCACTACATATTATGAATAATAATATGTTGTCAATTAAAAATATAATAAACGTTATTTTAATGTGTTGTCAATTAAAAATAAGAAGGTTTACATCACTACATTAGATGAGAGAGAATTTTTCGAAAAGGTGTTGTGAACGTTTACATCAGATGAGAGAGAATATTCACATTATTTTTAATGCGTTGTTAATTAAAAATATATTCACATTATATAATAATATAAAATAATAACATCAATATTATTTAATTTGTGTATGAAATGTCCTATGCCTTGATCATTTCCCTTCTCTCTTCTCCCCCAACATTAAATATCAATATTAAATATAAGGGCATAAAACTAAGAAAATCATGGAGATTTGTTTGGAAAACTTGTTTGGTTTACAAGTTTTGAGAAATTTTTTTGGAAAAATTTGTTTGGTTTGATTACTTTTAAAAACTTATTTGTAGAGAAAATTTCCCAAAAATTTTTCAGAAATGCAAACCAAACGACCCCTTAATTTTTTTGACTTCATTATTTATTTATTATTATTACCCCAATACTTTGCGTAGTAGGATATTTATTTAAATCTTCATCTTATGTGTTTTTGGCTCTTCTTGGTTGTTCAATTTAAAATAAATTTATTTATATAGAAAATTAAAAGGAAAAGACTTATCTCTAGTCCATTTTGTGGACTACTCGTATTGTTGGTATTGTGAGGTATATAATGGATCTTATTTTAATGATTCGAACTGTTTAATATGTAGAGTTCGTTAAATTCTTTATTCTTATAAAAAATTATTTTTATCGAATATTAATAGCTCTTTGTTCGAATCATATTTTTATTAATAATAAATATAATTTTAAAAATAAATTATTTCTCTCTCTGTCCTAAAACAATAGTCCATTTTGTAGAATTTAACTTTTTTTGATAGTATAATTATTATATTTTAAAAATATTAATTTTTCAAAATTACCCTTTGATAGTATTTTTTTTGGGATATCAATTATCATAATTTTACTTTTTGTATTATTAATGAATTTAAAGAAGGACAAAATAGAAAATTCATATTATTTTATTTTACTTGATTTTTGAAAAGAAACTAATATTTTAAAATAATAAAAAATGTAATAAGAGATTAATATTTTGAAATGAATGAAAAGAAATTAATATTTTAAGACAATAAAAATTAATATTTTTTAAATGAATGAAGTAATAAAAATATGTTTCGATACATACTATGTGAATTTACCCACAAGTAAATGAAATTATCTGAATAATGAGGACTTTCAACAAAAACAAGAGCGATCCAATAAATACATCCATCAAAACGGATCGTTCGTTTGTGTGAACCAAAAAAAAACACCCCACTCCCCACACGTTGGCATTACAAAATTAAGCCACGTGGCGATCATAAAACAAGTAGTGGGTCCCAGTTTCGGTACATAGAGGCCAAACGCAGAAAAAAGGAATAAATCTTTATGTCTCTAATTAGAAGTGTCACCAGTGACGTGACAATGAGCTTCATTTATTATTACAGTGTGTGTTATTTATTTATTTATTTATTTTTGTCTTATTAGTTGTAGATTTAGAACTTTATATTTAGAGTTTTAAATTATTACTGTAAAAAAAATTATCAATTTATTCAAATTATTTAGTGATTATCTTCGTTACTAATTATAAAATTTTATTATAAAATTTTATATTATTTTATATATTTTAATAATTTAATAACAAATAAATAAATTTATTTTTTTTATCAATTAAAATATACGTGTGACACTAATCTGAATCAATCAATAACTTTTCGTTTGGGACGTGAGTTGACTACTTTTTAACTTTTTAATTATTTTAGTCTGAGATTAAGAAATCTCGTTTGTGATGAACTTAAACTTTTTGAATTTTTTAACTTTTATAAAAGAAAAATAAAATAAGTATAATTTAGATATAATATTTTATCCTATTGAATTAAAAAATTAGTTTTATTTTTTTATAATTATTTTAATCTAAGGAAATGATGCCAAACATAGCCTAACTTCTGTTAAAGCAGGGTAAGTACCGTCGTTAGTTTGTGATGAGTTTGATTTGACTTTCTCTATTCACAACGCATATATATATATATATACATACATATGATCATAATTATTGTTTTTTTAAAAATCATCATAAAAAATAAATATAGGGAAATTCAGCACGGACATATCTACAGAGAAAAATATATTGAAGCATAGCGGTGGTGGTGGTTCGCTGTTGTTCTCTACTACTCTTCCTTCTCACGCATGATCGCTTCTCTTTCTTTTTTTTTGGATCTCTCTTTCTTACTTTTCTGTCTCTAGACTTTCTCTCTCTCTACAAATTGTGATTGTGAATGCACAGTGGAGAGAGAGAGATAGAGAGAGAGAGAGATGATCACTGTGATTTCTGATTAAAAACAGTTGGGGATTTGTGCGAGGTTCAGACTTCCAGAGAGGTTCTTTTTTTGTGTTTCTCTCTCTGGTGGAACTAGAGAGAGAGAGAGATTGTGTTGTCTCTCTGTAGACTAGAGTATGGGAGCTTGCGTGTCGACCCCGGAAAGGTGTGTGGGGGGTGGATTGCATTCGTCGAAGAAGAAGAAGAAGTTGTCTCGCAAGCGAAAGAAAGCAATTAAGCGAAGAGTTTCTTCTCGCCTTTCTGATCATTCTCTTGACAACCTTGATAAGTCCGCCACACTCGATCGTTCCTTCAACAATCCCACTTTCCATGGTCCTCTCTCTCTCTCTCTCTCTCTCTCTCTCTCTAATTCCGTATAAGATTATAATTAGGAGTTTTCATATTGCGTTTCAATAGAAATTAATTTTTATTTGATTTGTTAGTTTGGTTATGTGTTAATTGTGTTTTTGCTGAGCTTTTTATTTTATTTTTTAATTGCAAAGCTGTTAATTCCGTTAAGATAGTAATGTACACTGTTTGATATGGATTTTTTTTTGCATGGTCTTATATTTACCTTATAAAAAAAGAAAAGGAAAAAAAAAAAGAAGATAAAAATTAAAAATTAAAAAAAAAAAAAGAAGGAAGAATGCTTTAGGCATGGGTGTTATATTTTAGCATAATAATTTGTGCAATTTATTTTTGTTATAAAAATGTGAGTCCTGTGAATTATTAATATATGATGATTGATCTTGAATTTTTTTTTTTTTTTTTTAATTTACCTGTAATTACATGTCTCTACACCTGTCATAATTCATGAGAAACTGAACAATATTCCCAATATAATTTAGTGGGTGAGATTGACCTATTTGATCTAGATTGCTTGCTTCTTGGGGGTTCTGATCTTAAAGAGATGTGGATGGAGATGTTTTTATGTTAATTATGATTAGGAAGTCGACCGCACTTCAAATTCAAGGTTTTGAGGGCATTTAGTACGCCATGAACCAAGGAAAAATTATAATTGAATATGATTAGTCTTGTATGGTTTTCCATTAGCTTTGAGATTATGAGAGAGGTCTCTCATTTTGGTTACTTGTCTTTTGGCTTTATACTTTAAGTTATGAGTGGGCTTAAAATAAAGCAATGAATTGGCTGCGCGCCACCCCACTCTGCCCACAGATGCAAATTTGGTTTGAGGAATTAAGTTATTATCTATGTTGTGCAACCTTCATATGGATGCCAATGTGAGAGGCTTAATCGTTCATAATTTATGGGGGCGAGGAGAGAATCAAAGATGGTCTATATATAGCTTCAAGAAGTGGTTATTCATTGCTGTGAATGGTGACTGGTCATATGGACATGGTGGTTCATTCTAACAGTATTTGAAGAGACACAACAAAGGCCTCACCAGCAGCCTGATTTTACCTTCTTAGGAAGCTATAAGCCTAAAACACCTCAATCAAGATTTTGTCGAGTCTTTGGACTTCTTTGTACCCATTTACGATTGCTTTATGGTTTTTTTTTTTTTTTTTTTTTTAACAACTCCAAGTGGTTATAAGAAAGTTTGTTATAAGATGAAATCATGGTAACTGACTAACCGGAATTGTACTCCAACCATAGGAAAGTTGTTATAAGATGAAATCAGGTAACTGACTACCCGGAATTGTACTCCAACAATAAGAAAGTTGTCATAAGATGAAATCATGGTAACTGGCTAGCAAGAATTGTACTCCAACAAGAAGTGGCAAGATATTCCTTTTAAATTTGCAGAAATTTTATTTTCCAAATCTCGTATCAGTATTTCATATGTGCTAAATTGGAATACAATATCTATGATACTTTGAAAGCTTTGGAAAATTTGTGTTGCTTGGCAATATTTCATCTTGGAACAATGAAACCAGATATAGTTGCAAATATTCCTGCTTGATTCCATGTGAAGTCAATTGGTTTCTCTTACAGTGTGCTGACCTCATTTCTATTGGAATGTGATGATGCTGGCAGGAAGTATTGATGAGGCGTGGTACGATTCTACTGCTATACTCGAGTCTGACTGTGATGAAGATTTCCAAAGTGTGCCTGATGGTATAATATATGGAGATGGTAATCTTCTAAATTTCATTTTTTTTCTGCCTTGATTTATTAGTAATAGTTCTTTCTTATTATGGGCACAATATATATATGCAGATGTGCTATCTCTAAATGGCTTTGAAGGTGCATCCATATCAAGTACTGCTTCTACTAGAGAAGCTAATCAGAAACACTATACCATCAACTCATCTTTTAGTGATCAGCTACAGAGACCAGGGGACTTGTCAACTGGAAATTCTGCACGCAACTCTGTCAGTGAAGTTGCCAAAAACTCAGCACATTTAGATGATATTGATTCCCAATCAAAATCAGTAGAACCTCTAAATGAAGAAAAGCAACCAGTGTTCCGTGATGAGATCTCATCTGTGGATGAAGGTGAAGGCAGGGAGGATGGACTGTTGGATAATTGCGGGATGCTTCCAAACAACTGTCTGCCTTGTCTTGCTACTACCGTCCCCTCAGTTGATAAGAGAAGATCACTGAGCTCTAGTCCACCAAGTGCAAGGAAAAAGGCCGCCTTAAAATTTTCCTTCAAATGGAGGGAAGGTCATTCTAATGCTGCTATGTGTGAGTATTGTTACTGTCACTTTGCTGTAGTCCTAATCACTTGGATGGCAACATACAAATAAGCATAGCATGTAACATAGCTATTTTACGGACATTATCATGATTATTATTGCTACTGCTTTCAGTCTCAAATCTTCTATGTTATGGAACTTATCTAAAGCATATGTATGTGTTAATTGTACACTGTAAATGGGATAGGCTTGGGGAAAAGCTGAACTTAAAAGATGACTGTTCCTATTTAGCATACCGAGAAGAATAGAATAAAATTGATAGGTTATCATGCATACTGGTTACAAATTTATGCAATATCTGTCCTAAGAATTTAGCGGAGAGTCTGAAATTAATTTACTTACATTTTTTATTTTTCTTGGTTTTCTGGTTTCCTTAGTATCTTCAAAGATGCTTCTGCAAAGACCGATAGCAGGTTCTCAAGTACAGTTTTGCCCAGTAGAAAAGAAGATGTTTGATTCTTGGTCACGGATTGAGCCAAGTACTTTCAAAGTTCGGGGAGAGAACTATTTTCGGTATGAAAGCAGTACTCAGCCCATTCGTTTTTCACATACATTCATTAGTACATGCAAGCATATTTCCCCCCCCACACACACTGTTTTATATATGATTAAAGGTCTGAAGAACTCTCTAGTCTGTACATCGCAATGGTGGCTCAACAATTACTTTCAACTCCTTGTGCATTTAATGTGGAAACCAATTTTTTTTTTTTTGTTGGGTGTGGCAGGGATAAAAAGAAGGAGTTGGCTTCTAACTATTCTGCATATTATCCATTTGGTGTTGATGTGTATTTGTCTCCACGAAAAGTTAATCATATTGCACAGTTTCTGGAACTTCCTGTCGTTAATTCTTCTGGAAAACTTCCACCCATCCTTGTTGTAAATGCTCAGGTATATCCACCTTTTAGTTTTTATTTGATTTCAGGCACCCACAAAGTATATTTTGCTGTCATGTTTAAACATTTTAAGAAGTTTGTACATGCTGGAAGACATCTCTGTGGCAAATCATCCTCTCTTTTTTTTTTTTTTTTTTTTTTTTTTTTTTTTTTTGTGTGTGTGTGTGTGTGTGTGTGTGTTGGGAAGTAACCAATCATTTTGTTACCAAAAACTGAAGAAAACACTCCCTCTATAGCATACACCTACCTAGCCCAGCAGCATCTGATACCCAATTGAGCATAGTGTCGTACTTGTATCCCACCATAGTCATCATTTCCCTTCCCACTGAAGCACCTCTCTGAACTACAATGGTGCCATGCATGGCACAATGCTTCAAGAAGCAACCCATCACCGTAGAACAGGAAAAGAATGGAGAAAAGTATAAGGACAAAATATTCTGCACTCTAACCACACCAAACTGCCAAGCTAAGCACACTTAGCCACAATAGGATCTACAGAAAGTACTCTGGTTTAGAAAGTCTGAGAAGAAGATAAAAAATCAGGATGATGGTGCATCCTAACAGACAAAAAATAAAGCACAAGGGTAAGATTTATCCTAAAAGATAAACAATGGAACGCAAAGGTTTGGAACACACCAGGGGTTCTCATAGGCAAAGGATAGACATTGATTTGGCCTTCTTCTTCATGGAAGAGAGAGAAGCTTTCAACCCCCCGTCCTGCTGGTTTCATTTTTACTTTGATTGAGATATTGAATTGTTTCATTCATATGTTGAAGAGAACTATCCTCCTATATTTGCTTATTTCTTTTATATACAAATTTTGTATTCCTCTGAGAGATTGAAGTGTGTATCCGGAGTTAATGTACAATCTTTGAAAATATAATGAGGGATTGTAACCCAAGAGGCATAGAAGCACAATTCAAACAGTCATAATGCTTATTTGGGTCAGTCACAGACTTGACCTCACTTTTCTGGTCATCTTGTTACCCATTTGACACCTCCAACTTCAGCCTTGTCATTGATATATTGTCAACAAGATCATCTCCAGCTGACTCTTCCTCATACTATGTAAATGGTGCTGCCTTCCAAATTAATGCATTATTTTTTTAAAGTCTAGTTCTGCTGTATTACCGTATGCATTAGTCTTGAATGATATTGCTAAATGTATGGGTTGAGCCTTCTGAACATTTAATGTGTAACTTTTAATATCAACAGTTCATTTTTGTGAGATTAGAATTGTCTTCTTTTGTTCTTACTACTTTCCTCTCAGATTTTGATACTGAATTGTTACTTTTGGTGGGTCCTACAGATTCCACTTTACCCTGCTTCTCTTTTCCAGAGTGAAAATGATGGGGAAGGAATGAGTATCGTTTTATACTTTAAGCTTTCGGAAAGTTATTCTAAGGAGCTTCCATACCGTTTACAAGAAAATATCAGCGTAAGTTGGGTCTTTATTTATTTGTGTTTTAGTGCTTTTGCTTTGTACATGTGTGATTCCTGTATTGAGCTGAGCACTCATGCTGCTCATCTATTTATCCGTAGCAATGATGCCATGAACAGATCTTGTGATTCCTTTGGAAATTCTTGTTGTAAATGGAATGTTCTTAATTTCTTGATAGCATTTCTTTTATGATGATTTTTCTATCTGACATTTTATAAGATTCTTTATGTCTTTCCCGTTTTCAATTTTTATATGACATTTTAGGTTTCCTGTTATTGATGTGTTTCGAACTGCCATTTCTAATGAGTTCATGTCCATTTTCTTCTTTCTGAAACAGAGGTTAGTGGATGATGAAGTAGAAAAAGTCAAAGGTTTCCCAGTAGATTCAACTGTACCCTTCCGGGAAAGGTTGAAGATATTGGGTCGTGTAGTGAATGTGGATGACCTTCATTTAAGTGGAGCGGAGAGGAAGCTTATGCATGCTTACAATGAAAAACCTGTTCTTTCACGTCCGCAACATGAATTCTTCTTGGTAAGTTCAGAAAGAATTTTCCTCAACATTAAAAATTCCAATTCATTATATTTGTTTCATATGACTTCCTATTTTCCTCCTTTTCAGTTGAGATTGATAGTATATCATCTTCCATATTTGTTTTCCTTGTTGATACTCTTATTTATTTTTGGGGTAAATTACACCACTGGTCTTACTAGTTTGAGCGAAATTTCACTTTGGTCATCGTAGTTTCAATTTAAACAATTTGGTCCCTACACTTTCAATTTTGTTGCAATTTGGTTCCTCCGTCATGCATTGTTAACATTTTGAATGGAAAAAAAATCACGTGCAAAACTAGAGGGACCGAAGTGGAATTCAAAACAAACTATAAGGACAATAGGTGTACTGAATATTTTACACCGGTGGACCCTACAGTTTGTTTTGAATTTCACTTTGATCCCTCTAATTTTACACATGGTCTTTTTTCTGTTTCAAATTCTAACCCTAAGTGATGGAGAGTCCACATTGCAACAAAATCTAAAGTGTAGGGACCACATTGACACAAAATTGAAAGTGTAAGGGCCAATGTGATACTTCACTTCAATAAAAAAAACTAACTGTGTAATTTACCCTTATTGCTGACTGCTTTATGAACGAGCTGAATGGTGTTGGATTTTGAGAATAATTCTAGAAAATTCTAAAAACTACTTTTCATTCTTAGTGACATGACATTACTATGAATTTTCTTCAGGGAGAAAACTATCTCGAGATTGATTTGGATATGCATAGATTCAGTTACATCTCTAGGAAAGGGTTTGAAGCATTTCTTGGTAGATTGAAGATCTGCATCTTGGATTTTGGCCTCACAATTCAGGCAAGCATTTTTCAGTGCCCAAGTGGCTTCCTTCCTCTTCTCTTTACTTTTCTGGAAATAAAATCATTTTGGGTTTTTCAAGCTCTTACTAATATTAAATTTTATATTCACTGTAAATCAGAGGAACAAAGCTGAAGAGTTGCCGGAGCAGATCTTATGTTGTATACGGTTAAATGGGATTGATTACATGAACTATCAGCAACTGAGTCAAGAGTCCCTTGAATAAAGTCATAACAAATGTAAGGCTTGATATTAATATTTAATAATGGCTAATTTTTATAGAAGCCTTTGAGACATCATCTATTTTTCTCATTCTTGACTTTAAGTATACCCCAATAATTAATACGAGGATTCGCTTGCGACTGCCACTGTGCAACACACCATTAAACAAATTGTACAGGTCTTAGACAAGGAGAAAGAGTCTGTTTTCATTACCTTTTTTACATGCTATGACAACCCTGTCTTTAAACCTCTCACTCATTTAATATTTATTATGGCAAATTTAATTGTGCAATTACAATGGAAAATCTATGCGAATCAGATTTTAAATCAGTTTCAGCTCTTACTGTCTATGAAGCAATGTAACTAACCTATACACTATTACAAATGTTGCTGAGGTGGTTTGGAAATAATATCGAAGAGCAACTCTTTTACAAGATGATTTTTATGCAGTTTTTGAAGAGGATATGCCAAGACTTGAGACGCTATCAGGTGAGAGAGTGTTGTGAAAGCTATCTTTTGATGAATCCCTCTCAAGCTTGTTGAGACTTCCCCACTACCTCTTATATATAAACTCTTCAGCTCAGCTTTCTAGTCTTCAATGTGGTGAAAGTATCTTATATACCCACATGTTTGTGAGAGAAAGGGTACACTAGATGGTGTACCCGTTACACAAAATTCCAAATAACTATGTGCAACCTGTAAAATTTTGCACCTATTAATAAAATGTCTCTCCAGACTTTGGACTCAAACTGTTCCATACTTGTATCAAACATTCAAATGCTGAGTGAATTTCCATCTCTCCTTTTGCCGCTTTGTCTACCAGATTCATATTTGTCCGTCTCAGTGTGGCTTTGTAAGCCATTTTCTTCTCTCTTTCGATTCTTCTCATAGTATTCAAAGAATGATCAGAGAGGTCCATCATTTTGAGAATTTTGGCTTTTGAATAAAAAACAAATCAGTATCACAATACAATACAGTATTCTTGAGCAGCTTCAAGTGAGTTATTAAGTGAAGAACATTTGTACTCTGCTTGTATACCTGAAATATTGAACTCTAGTCGAGCGCTAAGTAACTCATTTGAGTTCCATTAACTATTCTCGAGTGAATGGTAATTCTACACTCTGTTGCACTACAATGGACAGTAATAATGCTATAGTGCATGCGCTTGAGCGAACATCTAGTGACTTGGGGGGCAATCAACACTGATTTTCAATCTTCATTATGAAATTCCATTCTCTGCTCGAGCAGCCTCTAAACCCGCTCAAGCCTCTGCTCATCTGATTGATTTGTTAAGCTTTTACAATTAAACGTTAGAACATACATTACAAACATGATACAAGAAATGACTCAACTAATACAAGAGTTTTGTCAACTGAATTTGGCCAATCCATCAAATACATAGGCCTTCCAATGTAATCTGTGTCTCTCTCATCCATGCATTTTATGAACAAATCACAAAGGAAACAACGTGAATGTGGTTCAGTTATGAAAGATATAACTAAAGGGCAAATTAATCAAACTTCTGAGGCAGCTTACTGAAAACTGTTACAAATCAAAAGCACTCCACCTTGTTGTTCAATATAAAAGCAGTAAATAACAAAGCAGACAGATCTTGAAATAGCTATATTCTATTTACATGGTTACCTAATCTACCTAGACAAACCAAAAATTGACTGCTTCAATTTCATGGGATGTCACAAGCACCAAAAATTGGATATGGTTAGAAACATCCAAATGGTACAATATTTAGGCCCATTAAAACATCCTACTAGGGAGTTGTGAATAGAAGTTTTCAAATTTACAATGCTTACAGGCAAGTGTGCTTGAGTTAGTTTCAGAGGAATATCATAAAGTGCAGATCTCTTGATTTTCATATACTGACATGGGATCCTCTCTATCCAAAATTCATGTTTCCCTATACCAAATGCACTCTTAGCAGAATGATCATGCCGCTAGATTCCTGTATTTTGAGATTTATATCATATTGTATGACGCAGAATGCATTCGGTACACAGTAACATAAAATTTTGGGTACAGAGGATCCAGAAAGATATGGACAAATACCTGGCCCTTTCCCTATAACATGCCCACAGTGGTGATACACAAAAACTAGTTGCTTCCATGAGATAGGGTAGATCTTGCAGATACAGATGCAGTGGGGCTGGTAATGTCTTGATCTACATTGCCAAAATTGGCCTTTCCTGTCAACATCTTTATTGCTATTTGAGCAACATCAGCAAACCAGTCATCCTCTGGCAAAACACTGCAATAATGAAAGTATCAGTACATGTTCAAATTGATACAAGGCCCAGTCAAGAATTCTTGATATATCCTATAAATCCATGCATTATGGCTACAAAGTGAAACTGAGTTTTAAGGACCTTAATCATGAATTTCTTTTTCGGACAAACTTCACTTTACCCTCTATGGTTTACTTTATCTGCAATTTACCCATCATTTAGAAATAAGTACATAAATCCTTTCTGTTTTGTGGACTAAAGTGCATCGTCAAACATTCTATCCAAGTTAATAGCATGTGTGTAACACGTGCTAGGACACAAGGGTACTATATCCTCATTTCTAAATGTCAAGGGCAAATCACACATGGAGCAAAAATGAATTTGGCCTTGCAAAAAATGATAAAAAATGTTCGTGGTTTTGCACAATGAGGTTACTTTTGTAAAATGATATTTTAGTTTTTACGCTTAAGTTGTTAGCGGATCTGACAGTTTTAGTCCACAAATCATCGGTGGTGATGTGCTTTTTTTCAAATAATAGGAGATTATGTGCACATAAGCCAAACCATATAAGGGGATAAACTGAATTTGTCCCTACTTTTTACCCAACTAGGCATACCATACCTGTAAGGATCTATTCCAGTTGCAGCAACTGATTCAATAGCTCTACCTATGATATTTTTGATAACTTGATGAAGATTTCGAGATAAGTAACGGCCTTGGGATGAAAAGAGTATCACAAACTCCATGTCCAAATAGAACTGCAAAACAATCAGGCAAAACCTCAGTCACCTTTTTTTTTCCTCCCAAAATAAATAAAATAAAAATGAAAACAAAACAAAACGAAAAACCTGTTGAAGGCCTAGAGGGCCCAGAGGCCTTGGTCCCTCTTCAATCTCTTCCCAAAAGGTTTGGTCATCAGAGAGCCACAAGATGACAGTCTCTGTAAGTCTCATCAATAATATTGTCGCAAACCTTTCCCTTCCCACAAACATGTCTGATGCAATGCTTGCAATCCGAGTCAGCTTTGCAAAAAGTTCCTGAATGGATATACAGTTGATGATCAACCACTCAATATTAGCATGCAAATGCAAGTATTTTGCAACAAAGAGGCATGTGCAGTGCATAAAAGCAGCACAACTTGGATTGACATGTATACAATAGGCAAGATGGGGCCTAATCTGCAGTAAAATATGAAGGGAAACTGGGACATAAAGATGCAAAAGTTCAACTGGAAATTAACGTCCACCGTTCTAAATGATGATAGCAGCAGACAGATACTAGTTAGCAATGACAGACTTGAGGAACCGTAATTGAAAGAATAGAAGAATATATTGTAGCTGGAAACATTTTCTTAAAAGAATGGAAACACCAGCACCTAGTGCAAGAATCAAGATCAGATTAACTTAAATACTAGAAGATTAAAATTCATGTTACCACCATATTGGAACAATTATGAAGGCATATTTATTTGATTCAATGCCTATGAGACAAGGTCATGATAATGCAATTATTACGAAACTATGACAACATAAACTAGCAAGGCTACAGAATACACAATTTTGTTTGTGGTTTGCCCAATGCTGATGGAAGTCGGGCATCATTTTCAGCACAGATATCCATGTCTGAGTTCATTTTATGTCATGGTTGTAATTCTCAACATTTTGTGTTTGTTCAAAAGCTAGCAAGTTATTCATCATCCATGTCAAATTTGACATCCCCACAAGTACAGTACCTGATATATCGGAGAAGGAAACCACTCCGGCTCATCTGCACTTCCATCCATGCCTATATACATCTCTGCACTCAGACGTACGGCACCATCTTCTGTGAAGATGAGCTCAAGGGCATGTTGTCGACAGAAGCTATCTCTCAACTGTTCTACGAAACGTTGAAGCCGCCTCTTCAATTCCCTTTGCTCTGGAGCAGCACGGGTTTGCCTCTCTGAACTTCTCCGAGGGGGCTCATCAATTCTACTACTATGGTTGAATGGTGACAGCTTCGTAGCAGCACGTGGGAGCAACTCATCCGCTAACAGTAATGCATTGACTAGTAGAGCTATTTGTTGGGCCTCGGTCTCTGCCATTCTAACGATTCTACTCTCGGACCCTTCCAAGTTCTCAGTCTCCATTGAACCTGGCAATGCCTTTATGAGCATATTGACATATGAGCTGAAACCTTGTACTAGACCTTCTAATGCGTGGTCGGCAAATTGCAAGCTCTCAAGAGGCCCAACATCCTCACAGATTTCCTGAAAAAAGCATCGTGGACTTGATGTAATTGATGGAGTAAAAAGCTTGAAGATGCAACATACAGAAAGGTGATTGAAAGATGATTTATTGCAATGTTGTAAACCTAAGAAGCATGGACACTAATAAAAAGGTGGCGTGCCCTGTCGTGTCCTTGTCGGCCACTTTCCAATATGTGTCCAACACTTGTCCAAATGTGTCCTTACTAACAAAAAAAAAAAAAACAAAGACACAAACACTTGAAGGACATGTGTGTCCATCGCTTAGACTCCCTAAAACTAATTATAAATTTGACCAACGTGTCGTGTCCTGCATTTCTGAAATTATCTGGATTGGCAAGTCGCATGTCTGTGTCCATGTCCATTTCCGTGCATCTTAGTTGTGAACTAATTCAGTGCTACTCATTCTGTGTATAACTTCATAGTTGTAACCAGGCTTAATAAGCCAAGAAACTTTTGTTTTCAGAACCAAAATAATTTACAGAAGAAACATAATCCAGCTTCTTGCATGTAAAAAAGAACAAGTATTGTTTAAATGAGAACAAAGACTGAAATAATAAATGAGTCCTTTGAGTTGTGACATTTTAAAGAGGGAAAAAAGCTTATCACCTGAGCCATTGAATTGAATCTGTGAGCACTGCTTGAAAGCTTTGGTTGTGATGCAATCACACTACCAAGAGATGCAGTACTCATATGTCGTCCACCAACCGGTGGATAGGCAAGTAACCAATCATCTGCAGCAGCAAATGCAGCTGTGCTCTGTTCAATTCTTTTCAAGTTAGCACTCAATGCTTGTTCGACACAAGGCCTAAAGAGTCTCAAGAGGACAGGCGAAAGAGCCAATCCACGTGATTCTAACAAGGAACAGTGTCCCAAGCATATTTGAACACACTCGGCAACAACCCTTAGACTCCCCGCAGCTGCTGAAGATGCCAAAACATGTCTCTTCACGAGAAGAGAGAAAGCCTCAGTCTGCTTGACAGCCCAAGTCACTAGCTCAGATGCATATGCCGGTTCATCCCCAAAAACTGCCAAAGAATCACTTGCCGCTTGTGCAATGGTTGAAAACACAAGTTGTGAAAGGGCAGCAGTGTATGCCCCTCCATCCGAAGTGCCAGATGGGCGAAGACCTTGCATATTGTACTGCAATTTCTGGTGATGAGATTTGAGTAACAAGTTATGAGCCCGTGGACCATCCCCGAGTTGTTTAAGGGCTTGAACAGCTGAACGAAGCTCAACACTACGAGTAGAAGGCTGGCAAGCAGCCTCTGCAAGTCGATCGGCTAATCTTTGTCTTTGTTCTGTGATAATAGTCTTCAATGATAAGAGTGTAGATGGAGTCAATGTCTGCTGTTGATTTGCTTCCTTTGCTATACGTTCTCCTTCATCTAGGGTGGCAAGAGCTTCGTCTACTCTCCTCTCGGCCAGTAAAACTTCAAGGTTCTCTAAAAATTGTGCTAACCATTTTTCTATCTTCGAAGGTTCTCTGTCTTCGAAATCAAATACGTCCTCTGTCATTGAACCTTCAGAACCAGCGGACAAGGATTCAAGACGAACTCCTTCAGCTAAACCATGAACAAGAGCTGCCTGACTAGATAGAAGATTTCTCAAGGAAAGGAGCTGGCCTTCAAGATCAGAAATCTCCTTAGATGTACTGCATATGCAAATAATTAGTAGCATTAATAATTACTGATTCATAAGAGTTGCATCCTCAGTTGCCAATTAGAGACATCGATCCTTCTAATCATGACAAAATCAAAGGTGAGAATTCATAGCATTTCAAGACAACTCATATCCTTAGCCATGACACAAGATAAAAAGGGCAGTTCCAGTGCACGAGGCTCCCACCCACTGCGGGGGTATGAGAAGAGTCAAATGTTTCCATATTTTGAACCTGTGATGCTCTCAGGTCACAATGGAGAAACCTTACTACTACGCCAAGGCAAGATGCTTGAACTTAATCCCCATTCGGCTTCGGCTAAATAAACTGCTTTTTGGCTATATAAGTTAAAAAGCAAAAGTTTGTTTGTTTTTGGCTAAAAAAATAACTAAAAAAAACTTTCCCACTAACAAAAAAAGCTTTTTTTTAGCAATTACAAAACATATCAACTTTTATAGATTCTTAAAAAAAGCAAAAAACAACTAAAAAAGCAATTGGCAAAACCCACCTTAGGATACACACTTGGTTCCAAATATATGTACTACAGGTATGCTTACAGTTGCCACAACAGCTTTTCAATTCCATTTTTATAATAGGTTTTCAATATTTACTATGAAGACCTTGTCTTCAATGCTTAGTGTTAAATCTGGCATGTGGTGGGTATTTACAGAGATCAAGTACACAAAATAATTACAAAATGAAATATGAAATAAATATAAAAAGGAGATAAATGTCACGATCAACTTCAAGACCAATCTAGGGTTATTATCAAACTCCAAAAAAGTGTTTCTAACGACTGTTGACAAAGAAGTCAATTGGAAAATTGAATAATTAGAAGAGGAAATACCAATAAACATTTAAAAAAATGAAAATAACAAGCATAAGGAAATACTAAGCGAGAACATGTTAATAGGAGAGTTATCTGTTACTACTCTGGAAATTATGCTCACCGAATAAAAGCTGAATAATTAGCATACACACTTTTGCGCATCTCCTCGGCCGATGCCTTCTTCAAATCCACAAGGCATGAGCACAAGTGCCTAATTTCCTGTCAATCATACACAAATTTATTAAACTCATTTTCACAATCAATGGAATAAAATTTAAAAAAAAAAAAAAAAACACTGTTTTGAATGCTTAATGGGTTTTGATATACCTTTTAATTGAGTATAATAATGAGTAGTGTGAGGTTTTTCTCAGTTGACATTAGGTACATACCTTCGCACTTAAATTAAAACACATCAAAAGATAAAATAAAGTTCATTAGACTGTTCTCTGGATTCGCAAAAGCATTCTTACAATAAAATTTCACAACATTATTATCATATGAGCAATTACAAAAATAGTGATACTTCAAATCCAGTGCTCAAGCTCAACTTTTCACAAATTTTCGAATCGGCATTATCAAATATGATGTCTCCAATCCACAATCAATGCATGCATATATATCATAGTTCGTATATATATATATATAGAGAGAGAGAGATTATAGAGGTAACCTTTTCGCTCATGGCACGGCATTTATTGGTGACATAGCCTTCGGGATCGAAATTAGAGGATTTGAAGGCTTTGAGCCTGTCACTGAGCGGGAGTTCGGCTTCGAAATCTGTGGAGTCTCCTTTGCTTGAAGAGAATGAGGCTTGCGGATGCGATATCTCCATTTTTTTTTTCCCGCTTTGGTGTAGAGTTCTTAGGCAACGAAAACCATCAGATAATGGGATTGTGAAAGAAAACGGAAGAAAGTGAGAGAAAAAGCGAGAAAATTAGGGTTTGATTGGGGGAAAAAAAACCTGATTGATTGCTGGATGTGGAGATTGGTCAAGAGATGTGCTTGCTGGTGCTTGAAGTCGGAGACGATGGCGGACGAAACATGTTGAGCCGTTACAAAACCCGGGAATTGGTCAAAATGAAGTTAGTTACACGCACTATGGAAACAAATTAAATTAAAACATAATTTATACCCCTTAAGTTTTTAATTCAAGTTTTAGTAACTTATTACTTGATTAGATAAGTTACTTATAAAAAATAACAATAATGTTAGGTAGCTCAAAATTTTGTGGCTCAAATGGCTCAAAGACGTCGTTTTAATTGTAAATGAGCGTAAAACGACGTCGTTTTGACAGATTTGAGCCATTTGAGTCACAAAAATTTGAGCTACCAAACATTTTTCAAAAAATAAATTACTTGAGCTCAACTCATATTTGACTCGTTAACAATTCATTCAAAATTGACTCATTATATGAACAAATTAAGCTTGAACATAATTTTTCGTTTAATTATCAAATTAAGTTTGAACAATCAACTACTCAACTCAATTTGTTTTCAAACCTATTTGTCCACCAACACTAAAATACAAGAACACATGTTCTTGTGTTTTATATAACTGCTTTTCATATTTTCAAAAATTTACTAAAACACAAAAATTCATACATTGCATTTGGATTTATTGATATAAAATGAATGAATTTAACATTATTTGTTTAAGAAAAATGAATTTTATAGAGAAAATTACAATAGATGATAAGTTAGTGATATTTTCAAAGAGCAATGATTGAGATTCATACTTCACAAGACCCCCACAAATCTGAATCATTCATGATGTGAATCCCAGACATACATAAGTGGACCCTACACATACATGGAGGGTGAGGATCACTTTGGGGTTGTGGGGGGTCATCCCAAAAGGGGTCCTAAACATTTTCTATTTTTAAAATAATAAATCCCTTTATGAGTCTCTTGGTTTGGAAAATAAATTAAATACAAATCTGTTATATTTTTTTTTTGTATAATTTTGTTTTTTATTTTTTTGTTTTTTATATCTTTACCTCGCATTCAAATGAGTATAGTCTTTATTACATTGAATTTGACATCATTAGTAAGTCAACGTAATAATCTACTAGATTTCAAAAAGTAAATTTCAATGCTTCAACATGGTGAAAAATAATTAAAAAAATTTTATGACCGATTTTAGTTGTACAAGAATATTAACAAAATTTTACAAAAAATGCTATTTATTTGAAATTTTAATTTCAAAGTTTATCCAAAAGTGAAATGTACAATAAATATACTAATTTATGAGTCATATTCAAAATGAATGGAGTATATATTTTTCAGGGTAATTCTTTTGGCTATCTAATATTTCACTTCTTACAATTCTATATAAAGGTTTATTAACCTCAAATCCCTTTAATTTAAATCCACTTGTCCAAACAAAGCCTTATAAAATTTGCATTTATTTCCAGATTCATTCCTACAAACATACAAGTTGGAAGGACAAATATCCTTCCCCCTTTGTTACATAAAGTACTATAATTTCTTCCTATTGAAGTTCAAACATGCATGAAATTAACCAAACTTCAAATTAAAAAAAAAAAAAAAAAAACTAGCATCCCATTATTTTCTTGGCTTTGATCAGAGGTTTCTCTGGCACAGCACCATCAGTCCCAGCAAGTGCCCTATATTTATCCTTCCTAGTAAACGTAGTGCACTCATAGGACAGAGTGGCTGCAATGACCCTTTGTATATAATTGGCCACTTCATGACTAGTCTTCCCAGAACTACATGTTAACTCCTTTGGCAACTTGTTCAAGAACGTTACTTCATAGGCAGGGCTAGGGTTCATGAAGAAGTAAAAAGGGTCCATCCCTTTCCACCCTCTTGCTGTCGTCCCATGGAACATGCTCATCCTGTTCACCATTGCCACCGGCACGAGCTGGTCGGTCAACTCTGCAAACAATGCCGAGAACCTAAGAAGAAATGGTTCACGACAAGTGGTTCCCTCCGGGCATATGGCTAGGTCGCCGTCTTCTAGAAGCTTCTTGATCATGGAGGCATCAGTGGCACGGTCTCGAGTAAGCCGGACGGTCTTGATGGGGGAGATGATCTCGGAAAGCCTAGAGACTGTTTGGCAATCTCTATATAAGTTAATTTTTTTGATAAAAAAAAATCTTAAATTAAAAAGTCTGTTTGGTTAATTGGTTAATGACTAAAGCTTCTTTCCAGTCAAGTTCGGATAGGCCAGATTTTCAGTAATTCAATTTGTTCATTTTGTATGTTTCTTTGTGTAATTTGTTAACGAAAAAATCAAATAAATATGATCATTGTAGTTATATCATTTTATTATATTTATCTTAAAAAAAATAGACTATTTGTTTTCAAAATCATTCTTAATGTCTATTTTTTTGAAAACAAAACATGAAAAACAAAATTTGACTATAATTATTCAATCAATTTTATTTTTTATTATTTGTAAACGATTCACGTATAAAAACTTACAAATGAACGAATTATTATCAAAATAGATTCTGTATAGGTCTCATCGAGACGAACTAGATAGTTGAGTTCACATTTGTGGACTATGGAGCCGCTCTCCTCTTTGTTAATTGGTTAAAATAAGCAATTTCTCCATTCAAAACAGCTTTATTATTTTTTTGTTTTTTTTGAAGTATCAATAAAATTGTTAAAAGAAGATTTTAATTTTTATATTTTGAAAAATTCCATCATGTCCTTTAAGTTATGTTTACAAGGTTCCGCAACTATAAAGATAATACGTAATTTTAAACTTAAAAAACAAAATTTTGTCCATAACCATTTATTTATTTAACAATTATTGGTGGCACCAAATTTTTTAGATTCTAAAAAGTAAAAAAAATATTAAAAAATACCTGAGTTGGAGGATGTAGCAGGAATAGGGCGGCCGAGGGCGGTGGAGAGGAAAACAGGGTCGAGAAGGGTTCTATGGGAGCAAATGAAGAGGACACCGGATTGGCTAGAAGATTTGTTGACCGGAGGTGGTGGGTTGCCCTTGACGGTGACTCGAACGCCGAGTGCCCAGAAGGCATAGTAAACGAGGGGCATCGGGAGAAGTGCCCCAGCGGCAATTCGGAGGCAAGCTAGAAGGAAGCCTATGGGGATCCAAAGAATGGTGAGGAGTGCCATTAGTGGAGTTGGCTTTTGGACAAGGCGCCCATCGTGGAAGATGATGGGTTTTGGTAGCTTGTCACTTGTTACGGCCTTCACCTTTGGGTTTGGTGGCACAATGTAACCCTCCTACATTAATTTCAAACTTTGTTGTTTATTTATATACAAGCTAAATAATATATAAATAAATTTTTTTATATAAATGATGTGAGATTTGCATTTATTAGATTTAAATCAAAAGAATATTTTTCTGTCAATATTCCACTAGGGTGTAATTACTCCCAAATAAATAAATAAGCTTTCATTTACTGCACTCTTTTTTTTTTCTTTAACAATTTTAATAAGGTGACTGCAAAAAAAATTTCATTTCCTTTCTCTCAGAGTGTAACATCATTATTGCTCAAGAAATCATCCATACACTTAGATCCAAAAAGGGCAAGCAGGGTGACATGATTTTCAAAATTGATCTTGAAAAAGCTGACAATGTTTCTTGGTCATTTTTGCATGACACGCTGGTTGATTTTAATCTGAATCAACAGTGGATTAATCTTATTATGAACTGTGTGACTAAGGTTAGATCTTCTGTTCTGTGGAATGGCGAACGGGTGCGTGAGTTCCATCCTAAGAGGGGTCTCCGTCAAGGTGATCCTCTCTCCCCATATCTCTTTGTCTTCTGTGTGAAAAAAGGCTCTCTAATTTGATTACTACTAAAGTTAGTAGTGGTGAGTGAAAGGGTGTCAAAGCATGTTCTAGAGGCCCTATCATCTCACATTTGTTTTTTGCCGATGATCTCCTACTTTTTGCTAAGGCTGATAATAGTAATTGTGAAACCATTTTGAAAATGTTAAATCACTTTAGTGATTGCTCGGGTTTGAAAGTCAACCTTGCTAAATCCAAAATCTTTATTTCTCCAAACCTGCCTCCGACTAAGGCTAGGTTTTTGAGCCATAAGTGTGGTATCCCCCTTACTCAAGATTTGGGTAAATACCTTGGTATCCCACTTCTGCATAATAGGGTGAGTAGAGCCCACTTCTCATCTATTTTTGAGAAGCTCCAAAAAAGACTGACGAGTTGGAAAGCTTGTATGCTTTTGGTTGCTGGGAGGGCCACTCTTATTAAGTCTGTAAATTCTGTTCTCCCCGCTTATATGATGCAAACTATAGATGTACCCTCAAAGGTGTGCAAAGACCTGGATCAACTAAATAGGAACTTTCTTTGGGGTAATGTGGGCACCTCTAAGAAAGTCCATTTGGTTAAGTGAGATTTGGTTTGTAAGAGCAAAAAAGTGGGTGGTCTTGGTATTAGAAAAACCAAGTACAACAATATTGCCTTACTGTCTAAGCTGGGTTGGAAACTTATTACTGGTGAGTCGTGTCTTTGGGGCACTGTTTTGAAAGCTAAATACCTCAATGGGGAATCTCTTCTTAACTATTCTAGTAAGAGAAGGGCCTTCCACACTTGGAGGGGTATTCTTAAAGCCCGTGCTACTATTTTGAAAGGCTGTAAGTAGAGCATTGGTGATGGGTCTAAGGCCTCTATCTGGTTTGATTAGTGGTGTGGTGAGGGTCCTTTGGCTTCTCTTTTTCCTCACTCTTACCTCATCAATTCAGATAAAGTGGAAACTATCTTGGATGAGGTAGGAAGGTGGGATATTGATAAAATCTCCACCACATTGCCTAGGGAGGCTTTGGACCTTATTTTGCAGGTTCACCTTCCTAGGTTTGCTACCTTTCCTGATTTACCGCATTAGAAGGGCCCTAGTCGTGGTATTTTTACTACTACTTCAGCGTATGATTTGGTTTGTGACTCTGAGGTGGAGTCTATTAATTGGCTTTGGCTTTGGAAATTGAAGCTTCCTCAAAAACTCAAGGGATTTCTTTGGTTAGCTTTGCATCATAGATTGTTGACTAATGAATTAAGAGTCCGAGGGGGGCTGTCTGACTCTGCTGTTTGTGTGAGTTGTGGGGATCAACTGGAGGATGTTGATCATATTTTCAAAAATTGTCCCAAAGCTTGTCCTATTTAGGTCAATTTAAACTGTGCAGGTTGGTTGTTTAACTGCAGGCATCTCTCCTTTAATGCTTGGCTAGAATCAATTTTGAAGGCTAAGTATTCACCTGTTATTGGCCATACAACCTTTGTTGTTACTTTGTGGCAAATTTGGAAAAACCAAAATCAGTTTATTTTTGAACATGTTCACACTCCTTGGCAGCAAAGTATCTTTTCTATCTTGAGATATGCTTCTGATATAAAAGATGCTTTTAAACATTTTTTTGCTCTTCCTTTGTATGATAGATTGGTTGTGTGGACTCCCCCTGTTTCAGGAACTTTAAAAATGAACACGGATGGAAGCGCCAGAGGTGACCCAGGAGATGATGGCTTTGGTGGTTTGATCCGCAATGAGAAAGGAATCTGAATTTGCGATTTCTACGGGAAGCTTACAAACTGCTCGTGCATTGAAGCAGAAATTTGGGCCATATATCGTGGTTTGACAATTACTTTTGAAAAGGGTTACAAGGATCTGATCATAGAAACTGACTGCATGGATGCCGTTGACATGCTGAAGAAGGAAGTGGAGGTTATTTCTTCTTTGCGCAGCCTGGTGGAGGACTCGAAGTTTCTTATTTGAAGATGTGGCCACACTCTCCAACAAGTTTTGAGGGAGGGTAATCTGAGTGCTGATGGCCTAGCTAAGATGGGTGCTAATCAAGATGAACCTCTTGTTGTTATGGAAGATGCCCTGGATGGCATCCGCAGTCAAGTTGTGGCGGACATGATTGGGCGCTGCTCCCGTAGGCAGAGCCCTTCTATTCCATAAGCTGTTTCTGTTTTTTGTTATTTTTTTTTCCTCTGTTTGTCTTTCTACTTTCCGATGTACCCAAAAAAAAGAGAGTAAAGGTTGGCTTTCCTTGCCTAATGTGCTAAGGTTTTATCTCTTCTCTTTGTTGGAGGTTTTCTTGGGTGTGATTTTTTTCTTGCCTTCTATCTGATTTCTTGTGTTTTGGTTGGTTTATCCCTCTTTTTCTTTTCTTTTTTTTTTCTATTTTGTTTTCTACTTCTATTTATGGATGCCACGGTGGAGGCCCTAGCCAAGGGTTTGAGCCTTACTGAGGATGAAGAGGATTTGGTGGTCTTGGATGATGAGGATTTCATGGGGTTTTACGGACACCCTGAGGTGGTCAAACGCAGGGATTCTTGGGAACTCTTGCGCCAGCTTCATGATGGCAGTAATCAACCGTGGTTATGTGCTGGAGATTTTAATGAAATTCTTTTTGATTCAGAGAAGTATGGGATGACTATTTGTAATAGATCACAGATGGAGGCTTTCCGTCTGGTTTTGAGTGATTATCATCTCTTTGATATGGGTTTTCTTAGAGGGAAGTTTACATGGTGCAATAATTGAGTCTCAGGTTTGGTTTGGAAGCGTCTTGATAGGGGTTTGGTGAATGATGAGTGACAAGCCTTATTCTCTGAAGCCAATCTTCATACTCTAGTGAGTTCGATGTCTGACCATTCTCCTATTCTTGTGGATTGCTTTGGATCACATTGAGTAAGATCACAGTGAGTTTATTGGTTTGAAGAGATGTGGTTGTGGGAGGAAGCGCGTGAGAATGTGGTTGCCAATTGTTGCGTTGGTAATGATTCTAGCGCCAACGTAGATGGCTTACAAAGAAACATTGCTTAGGCTAGTATTATGCGGAAAGGGTGGAGTCGTACCCAGGTTGGACATCTTCAAAAACAGTTAGGGGCAAAAACATCACGCCTTGTATGGTTGCGCTCGCAACCAGATTTGTCTGAAGATATGTCCTCGGAAATTCAGATTTTGTGTAAGGAAATTGATGAGATTTTGGAGTGTGAGTCTGTCATGTGGTCTAAACGGTCTCAGGCCAATTGGTTGTGGAATGGGGACCAAAATACTTCATTTTTTCATGCTAAAGGCATCAGAAAAAGCGAATTCAGGGCATTGAAGATAGTAATGGGAGATGGGTTTTAGCAGATTTGGAGATTAAACATATAGCATTGGATTATTTTGGTGACCTTTTCAAGAGCTCCTGTTCAAATTCTAGGACGAATTTTCTAGAGGCTGTATCTGCTATTGTCTCTAGGCCATGAATTTTAGCTTAACTGCTCCATTTACGGACGATGAATTAAGAGGTGCTCTATGCCTGATGGTAAGCCGGCTTTATTTTTTCAAAAATTTTGGCATATCACTAGCAAGTCTGTTTGTGGTGCAGTTTTGGGGTTCTAAATGAGGGGCAGAATGTTAGTTTGTTGAATGAAACTTTTATTGTGTTAATTCCAATGGTGAAGGAACCTAACTCATTTGCATAATTCCGACTTACTAGTTTATGTAATGTGGTCCATAAAATAATTTCAAAGGTACTTGCAAACCGACTCAAAATGTTGCTTCCATCAGTAATCTCAAAATCTCACAGTGCCTTTGTGCCTGGACAACTCCTCACTGATAATGTTCTCATTGCTTTTGAAATTTTTTACTGGTTTATAAATCATCTAAATGGGTCCGATGGTTATATGGCTTCGAAGTTTGACATGAGTAAGGCCTATGATCATGTTGAGTGGCTATTTTTGGAGAGCATTTTCGTGCGTTTGGGTTTTGCTCTAAGTTTTGTTGCATTAATTATGAAATATGTGTCTTCTGTCTCCTATTCGGTGTTCATCAATGGTGTGCTATCTCAACGCTTCTACCCCTTACAGGGATTGCGACAATGTGATCCCATTTCTCCATATTTGTCACGCCCCAAGCTCCGTGACAACGCCGGACACTCATTTAAGTGAGCATGCAAGGCTAAGAATCCAACACATAACCAACAATGTAAAATACTCAAATTAAATCCTTAAATATCATAATGCTAAAAACCATACAAATAGATAATTCTTATCATATGAAATTGTCCACCAAGTCTACTAATAAAAAT